CCTAAACATGGGAAGAAGGATAGCGTGCGTTGCACGTGTCACGAAGGCCATCTTGCATCATTCTTAATTTCACTCTTGCTTAAAAATAGAATTTCAACAACAATTGTTTATTATGGGAGAAAAGGATAAAGAATAAAATACCCACCAAAAGTGTTGATAGTGAAGTGAGTTGTACAACTGCTAACTTTTATACTAAGGTCTACAGTCTGTTGGTCATGTGATGGTCAATCCCATACATCTGCAATGCAGTGGAAATCTTATCCTGAGGATGTTTTCTTTCTTTGAATAATTGAAGGGACCACAAGCTGACATGGAGACTAAACACTGCAGTCTGAGAGATGACTCTATTTGATATTTTGAATAAAATAAGACTCATCTATTATGACTGAACCACTGCTGATGATTTTTGCCTCCTTTAAACTGGGAACACTCTATGCTTTAATATTTAACTGACTTTTCCATGTGCATGTGTTTTGTCTGTTTGGTGAGCATACAGATGTAGGACTGAAGGATAAAGGGTAGACTGCAAGACTTGTCTGTCTTTAAGTTGAAAGAAGTATGGATTGGCAATTGAGAGGGAACTCTTAAGTACGTAAGACTCAAATCCTATTTTTGAAGCAGAGCAAGATTGAAGTCTAAGATATGAGGACCAAACACAGTCTCAGTTTGTAAAACAATAACCCATCCCAATGAGCGTCAGGACTATCACATGCCACCAGGTAGAAACAAACACCACAAAGACATGAATTGCATGGATGAATTTTAGGGTGAGAATCTGCCGACTGAGCAGTTATTGGATAATATGATGCTGAAAATTGTTCACTGTGAGATTATTGTAGCACTAACTTTATTATTGTGTGTTTGCTAGACTCAGCAAGAGAGCCTTGAAGGCACTCAAACATCAGAATGAAGTTGCTGCAGTGCAGCATGTCAAATCTTCTATTACCTTGTGAATTACAGAGATGCTGGGTTTCTGCCCTTCCTGTCAGGAACCAAGGCAAACATGGCCTCTATGAGGCAGCTCAGTTTTAACTCAGCCATGTGCTGTGATCGCAAATGAAATGGCCCACAAAATGTGTTTTGAATGCTCCTCACCTCACCGAGAGGCCATTACTACAACCTTACTTAGGTTTGATTTAGAAATAGTGGGGCCAATTGGCTATTTGGTGGCAATGATGTTCCATTGTGGTCATTCATTCTCCCTTAGAAGAGTGTATAGTCATACACTTCTTTTTTTTCCTTTTCACCTTCATCAAAATAGTTGAATGTGAACCAGAAAAGTGAAAACCTGAAATACCCTGTGGAGTTTAAACATACTGCTGTATTCAAGTAAGGGTTGTCTTTAATATTCAATATTCCCACGGCAGACTTTCTCATAATTTGCAATTCTCTGACTTTTCCCCCTCAAGAAGCACAAGTGGGCCAACAGTTTGATTTATTCAAGAAAATTTCTTTGCATCATATAGATGAAATAGTGAATTTTGTATTACATTTATTTGTCAGGCATGTTATCTTTAACCCAAAATCAGATTATTTTTTAACATCATGTGAATTTTAAGCACAACTAGGAAGTTTCAAAGCCAGTAAAGGAACAAAGTATATGGGAGAAAAATTCCAGAATTTATATTAATACAATCATAACCATGACTAACCTAAAATGTACATATTATATAACCATTCTTAAAGGGTTAAAATAACCTGTGATATCAGTTAAAATTAAAGTTTATATGCAGTATAACTTTGACAATTGCATGGACAAATTTGCCCAGTTTATGTTGTACATAAGTACATTGCCATGAAACGTTACTGTTTATGGACCAACATTTTTCTCTTACAGTATTTCACCCTTGTGTCTTTCCATGACGCTGAAGCCATTACCAACTTTAGATGATGTTCTCGCAAACAACCCTGGTGGATGGAAACTTCAGACTAGGAATACTGGTGAGATTTATGTACTGTACTGTTAGTGCGCTGGCTGAGGTTGATAATACCAAGTAATGCAGGTGAGGATCCATCACTGTCATGAGCAGTGGCTCAATGGCTCTTCTAGATAGCAGACATTCATCTTTTTTCTTTTCTTTTTGCTGAGAGCATAACGGCTACCTAGGGTGCTATTTCTTATCCTCGAATGGTTTTGATTAAGCTATAATTTGGTTTTTAAAGACTATCAGTCTGCTCTGTTTTCTTATTTTACCCACCAGCACTTCAAAACATCACACTTATAAAACACATTTACCTCAGATTTGTTTACATAAAACTACAGTGGGAAAGAAAGCTGTTTAAACTATTTTTCTTTCAATTTGGCTGTCTAAAAAACTTTAATAAAATACTGACACTTTTAAATTCTAAAAGAATGACAAGGATTATGACGCCCTGAAAGATCTGAAAACTGGTTTCAATATGTGGTTTTGTCATTAGCTCTCAACTGTCATCGGCAGATATTGCATTCTACTACTTGTTTATCCAAGTTACCCAAAATAAAGCTTTTTAGCTACATGAGAACAATAACTTATCCGCATGGCTTAGAATATGAATAGTTTATATCCTGCCGGAACAGTGCATTGCATCTCTCTGTCACTCTCTCTGTACAGTAGTTAGTTTATTGTTTCTGAATGCAAACACAAGTGGATTATGGTTTAATTGTATGTGAGCAGAAACTGCTGCAGGAAAGAGACACTTCATGAAAAAATGACAGTCCAACACACAACATTACAACTCCCCATATTTGGCAGAGACAATATTACACCCAAAGTTTAGAGCCTCCAAGTCAGGAGGCTTCAAGATATGAGGTAACACGAATGCAAGCCCTCTTTACATTTTTGGTTATAATACGAGTTCTTATCCTATGACTAATTTTTTAATTTTTTGTTTTCATGTTTAGATGTTTTACAGCTAAATCTCTCATTCTCTAATGCAGAACAATGTTTAAATGGCTCCACATAAAGTTGGGGTTTAAACATTTATCCATTCATATATGTTGTATTCATAACAGTATAACCATCCAGAGACTAAAAATCTAAATTCACCATGAGTTGATGTGTCACTGTGCAAAGCTGTGGTTGGGAATTATTAACCCGTCATAATTCCAAATTTAAGGAATAGCTGTCCTGGTGATATTAAGCCTCTAAAGACATAAAGACAGTCAGTGAATTAAATTCACTGTCAGAAGGGAGATGAAACATCAGCACAATGATAAACGTTGACTATTTAAAGGTAAAGTGAACGCACAGTCTCTTTGCACTGGGAGCAAACACAATGTCTTTCTAAGTGCAGTGTCCTGAGACAGTCATGTCCTACTGAAGAAGCTCATCAGCTTGTCACATTGAATCAATGTGAACACAGTGACATCTCTCAATGAGCACAGTTTTGCATGCCTCATTCATCACCCATTCATGTTGCTGACAATCTCTTTAATCTTATAACCTTTCTCTATATAAATGCCTCTGATGAAACTGAAACAAACACATTTTGTAACCATGATTCTTTCTCTAATCCTTTGAGAGCCACACAGCTTTACAATAAAACCTGAATACATAACATCTCCCATCATATGTATTCAGTTAAAAGTGTTATCAAGACAATCCCATTGGACCATTAACAGCATACCTACATACCATAAATGACTTTCTGTCACTTCACAAGCAAGAAACACAAGTTGATCTTAAGTTCTCAATCAATCGGTTTAAGTGTGTGTAAGTACAACAAGAACCATCATTTGAAAAGAAATTCTGCAAAACGACCAATCCATGTTGATTAGAAAGAACCAAGCAGAATCATATTATCATAAAACGGATATTGCATGATGATACTGTCAATTTATATTGCCCTGGACATACATTTTAAACCACATTTCCAATGAAATTGTAATCTATATCTCTTTATATCCAATAGAGAAAAAACAGAAAGGAAACCAAGTGATCTGTTCCTTTATGTCAAAGGTAGTATCTGAGACATAGTTATGGGCCATTGTCTGTTATTTCACCTCCATGCATGCTCTTGCAATGGTTCAAGGATCATGCTGAGTGTTAGAGAAAACCATTCTACTTGATCAATATTTATGATTGCATTATTTCTTAGAATCCGCAGGCCCCTACACAAACTGTTATGATGGCCTCTGGCCATACAGAATAAGGGGGCAGCTCTCTTTACCGCTGCTGCTGAGTTGGTATTTCTATTAAATAGTCTACAAATTCAAAGGAAAATTTGATAACATCTCTTGCTTTAAATAGAGCATTAGATAGGTTAACCTGTATGTCAAAGAAGAAGAAATTCAACTTATGGGCTACATATTCATTCAAAGTTCAAAGCATTCGTAACAGGATAGTAGTAGAACCAAAAGGGGAAAATAATTACAGCAGATTCCACCAAAAATGTTTCACTGGACTGAAACTGATCTTAAAAAAAAAGAATATCAGAGAGATGATATTGCCAAATCAGTTTAACCCAAAATGAAGTAAACCCAGACATGGTTTAACTTGAAAGCGGACACCAAAGGTGTACTTTTTTACATTATTAAGTAAAAAATGAAAATGATAAAAATTAAAAAATTGAAAAATAGCAATAATAAAATGTCTATCTACATTTTACACAACATGTGATGACGAGATTTTGTGGGACATAGTCTAGGTACTCTTGACATTTGAGAGGTAATTTGATCTGAGAGGTGCTGCGGTGCTTATGCAGGACAGACCAAGATGATGGAGTACCTCTAAGATGACTTTCACTAACACATACAGACCTCATGGTGCCAGTGGATTTCTAATGGGAAAATACTGCATGTGGTGTTGGTTCCATTCATGAAATGATAGACTTATATCCCCTCAGCCTTTTTTTAGGTCATGGGACTGGTGACTAATAAATCAAATCAAAGTGTTGAGGTGTGCAATAATATCATTACCTACAGTATAATGTGTTTATTTGAATATATGCATGGAAAAAAGCTTTCCATTTAGATAATAACATCATAAAGTCACAAGTGACAGAACCAAAGCCAGTCTTACCTGTTGAGGCTCTCTTGGTGTAGTGGTCTGCTTGACTCTCCTGCTGGATGCTGTGGTGGTGGTCATTTCCATGATGGACGTGGATGTCTCTGAGCGATTGGCTGTGGTGCTCGACTGTGGTGTGATAGAGGAGGGTGACTCTCCAACAAGACGCACACTGCCCTGGATCTTTATGTTTGGATCCCCTTCAGCAGCCATGTTGAACACCTTTAAGCCATTATAGTAGAGGCCAGAGAGCTGGCCCTGAAAGGATCGACTTCGATCTGGTTCCCAGCCTCCAATCTGTATAGTAGTTTGGCTGTTGAAGATAGTAAGTTGTCGTCCTGTGGACAAAGAATGTTACATATATACAAGAATGCTAAACTGTGGACTCAGCCACTTCCACTGAACAAGAATAATTAAAGACAGGAAGACAGATTATTTGCCGAGGGGCTAATGAGATCAATAAATTACAGGGTGTAGAGGCAAACCCTGATAATTTATTGGAAATATAATGATGAGATGCCTATAAAAAGAAATACATAAAATAAGCATGGGAGTTAAAAAAAACAAAAATAAACGCTTTGCTAAAAGAGCATCCTAATTCAAACAGCTAGAAAATAATTACGCAAAATGTGTATAGAAATATTGCTTGAAGAACAATGTATGGAGATTAAAGTGTATATGTTACATATTGCATTGTCACATTATTTTCAATTTCCCCTTTTAATTTTTAGTGTAAACAAATTAGCTCTGACTGTAGGATTTCCATCCTTTTAGCAAAAGCAGCCAAAGGAAATAAAAGTCATAAAAGGTATGGTTGGGCACAAAGAAAAATCCCAAAAAGATTACAAAAATAAAAGGAAAGGACAGAAACCAAAACTTCTAAGAACAGTATTTTAATAATGCTATTCTAAAGGCATAAACAAGAAAAAATCATGAAAGAATGATAGGGATAATCTCACATTTTGAGTGAAAAATATGAATTAGTTATTGAACTATAAAAATACAAAGCATGCACTCAGTTTGTTTTATATTACAGTTCCTGTCTCTGATACCCTATTCATATTTACGAAGTCTGTTAAAGGGACTTAAAATTCTGATGCCAATTGATATTGCATACTATTTATCGCTTTTATCAGTTTAATCAGAATAGAACAAATGGCACTAAATAATATACTGGAATTATAATGTACAATACATGTTTCAGAAGTGTTTTTGATAACACTTATCAGTTAATGAATAACTATACAGCAAGTTTTAAATTTATCTCTGATGTTTACAGCAAAATGCTACAATAATTTAAAAACATTTTAACAAGAGTGCTGTTCCTTCTGTACGTAGATTTATATTCATATTTACAGTCCCTTTAACCATAAGTTGACAAGAAACACGTATTAAAACAGCTGAAATATATCAAATGTATGCATTATTATGAAAAGTATAAACATTACACACTAAATTTAACTGTTCATATCATTTTTATTTGAAATTTATAATGAACATTTATTTTTAGGTTTATTATTTACAAAAGACTGCTAAAACTTTATTTTATTTGAAATTTTAATCAGTGATTTTACCTTTGTCGAGTAGCCATTCGTCAACTACTCGACCAAGTCGATATGGGATTCGCTGTCTAGCAATCGCCAGGCGTTCGTTATCAATGTTGCCTTTAAAGTTTAAAGAGACATTTCATTGGTTACAATCTGTAAGGTCAAAAGTTAGATATCCATTCTTAATGCTGAAGTTATACAACTGCACAAGAGTTTTCTATTTAAAATATTTAATAGATTTAAAAAAACAATATTAACTAAAACATTATTTAAACAACCTTCATTCATTTAATTTTATTTTAGCCCAAAAATTATGCCTAAATTAATTGAAAATATGCGAACTAGCATGGAAATGTTTAATTTATATTAGTAAAACTATGTTATAAACCAACCAAAATCACAACTTTCCATTACAAAGTCTTTACCCAAAAATTCCAATCTCATTTATAATTTCCCTCTATATATTTTTTACTAACTTTTAATTGGTTATACAAATGAATCATCATTTAAATTTATTATTAAATCAACCTTTTGTAGTTTAAAGGATCAACAAATTGAACATGTTACAAATGCACAACCCCATTTATAAAAAATCTTAATTGACAAGTATAAAAGGTTTATCACAATTAACAGTACTATCAGGACCTGTAGTCAGAGAAAAGTGAAAAGACAAAGTAGATACATTCACTGTAAGTCCTTTAATAAAACAGCTTTGACAAAAGCTATGACTCATAAACTCATGAATTTAGCAAAATGAAGTCAGAGGGGTTTTGAAAAGACGCTTTAGAACATCAGCTGAATAAGTCACAGGGGAAACGGCAAGAAACTACAAAAAACACTCCACAGCAACACTGGACGGACACTTTGGTTTTAATGAGGGCAAACTCTGCATCACCCTTCTGTCAAGGCCAATAACCTCTTCAGAACAGAAGATGTTCGGTAAAGTGGCACTGTCTCTGAGTGCTTTACCCCTGGTATTGTGGGTTGAGATTGAATTCAGTCAGCTCCATTCTTCCAGCAGATTGACAGTGTTTGTCCCATCAAGTATATTAATTTAGTTCCGACACATGAAAGATCTGGTGGCTAACAATAATTCAATGGAGAATGCCTTTAGATCGGAATGGATTGCAAACACCTCAGTGTTATAAGAAAGGTAGAAAGCGCACAACGCTTGAAATGGCTTTAAATGGTACCAATGCCATGCTACACATTATGGTAATTAAGACTGTAATGGACACAATCTTAAAATGTATTGAAAGCTTCACATTCAACCATTTTGTCAGGCAGTGTGTGTTGGTAAACAGAGATTGGAAAAACAAATTGCAAAGAAAATGGAAAACAAGGGAGTGACAAAACTATTACCTATGTAACACAGCTAAAACTGGAGATTTGTAATTACTTTTTTGTTAGAGGCAAAGCTAAGTGCTTTAGCTGTAAAATGATCTGACATTTTAACATGCATTTTTTGTCAAGGCAAACCTACATTTTCACCATACAGTTGCTGGGCTAAAAATGATCTGAGATTTGGATCTTAAAAAGAAAGTTTTCACAACCATTAAAAAAAAGAAAGCCCTCATCCTTGTATACACACCTCAGGAGGTGCTGATAATTTCAGCTCATGTGACTCTGGAAATCTATTTTTAACGACAGAGCACTCATCTGACACAAAAATAACTGTCTGTTCGTACATAGCAGTTGTCTATTATAGCTAACCACTCAAAGCCCTTACACACAACATGTTACACAGTGTTCTGTTCTATGCATTCATGCACATTCATACATAAATGTGAGGTGACTGGTGGGGGACCACTAACCTACAGCTGCCCCTTTCCATTGTAAAGTGATTATTCCACATAATGTAATTCCATGCAATGTGTTCTGTCACTACTCTCTGCTGTCCCTGTTTTCATCAGTGAGGCTTTTTTGGATCTGTGAGGTCTGAATTAAGTTAATTGGCAATGAGGGTTTCTTTCGAGTAATTTGGAGACAAAAAGAGGGAGATTTTACAGCAATTATGTGGACTGCGTTATATTTCTGGTCCAAAAGAGTCTCTAATATAATCTATTCTCTATCCTCATCAATCAATGTGTCTTAAGAAGCTGCATTCTTGACAGGATGAATGCACTTTAAAAATAATTTCAGGAAAACCTTTTGAAATGAGTAAAACTGCTAAACCCAGTTTCTTTTTAAAAAGGATGAAAGACTTCCTGAAGATGCTGTTTTTAGCATACGTCATTCAGGAGTTATCAAATGGTGCATTTATTGAGGCAAACATCCTAAGGATCAAAGCTGCGCTTCCTGATATTTTCAGTGAGATAAATTAATGAACAGTCCTCAATTGCTTTTGCAATGAGTCATTCAAAGGGATTGTTCATTTCACCTCCATTTGTCAGTCATGGGGTGTTAGTTATGTCACCTCTCCATTTCCTGCAACTGTGACACCTCATCTGAGAAGAGGTCAGCATCAAACTGGGCTCTGGAGAAGAGTTAGCCTACAGCTGCTCAGAGGACAGAGAGGACACACACATTTAGACTAAAAAAGAGCAATATCTATTATAAAGACCTTTTTACTAATACAGACATTTTCCGTAGGTGTTATATCCTGACATGCAAGCTGCTTCAGATTCTTGACTGTGAGGTTGGAACAAAATTGGTGGATTCCTCATCTTTATTCAGAAACACAAAATACAAAACCTATTAAAACAATATAATATAATATAATCCTACATTTTTTATGAGGACGGTTAAGGAACTAATGTGAACACACTCGTGCAGACTTCACACACACACCGTGCTGCTGTTCCAAAATCCTTCCCCCCAGAAAGACCATAGACTGTGTCTTATCTGTTTGGCCGTGCACCTCCTAGCAAACCCAGTCTATCCTTACACTGAGGTTAATTATGCGTGGATATAATCAAGTTCTGATCGTGTATTGATCCCCACTGTGGGACATCAGAGTTAAATAATGCTATCCCCTGGGCTTTGATGGAGCACCAATGCTCATTCTTACTGCCTGAGAGTGGAGCCTGTGACCGCTGCTAAGCGGTGATTTGGTTCAGTGTGGGACAGCGTGGCTTATCTCCACAGCCAGGCAGCAGCGATTCAACTGAGCCGTCCCACCCGACCCGCTTTGCCCTCATTCACTTGTTTTCTATTTTGTTAATAAAGTGGTCAGATAAGGTGGGGGACTTTATCTCATTACAAGCCACAGGACATTAAATGAACAAATATGCAAATGCCTTCTCTGTTCATGAAAGCAGAAGAATTTAACAGGATAAACCCACAAAAATCACAAAATCATCTTCATTAATCTGCATCTTTTTTTTTCCCTCTCCCTGATTATGATGGTTAGTGAACCTTTTTTTAGCATCTTTGGTGATGACAGCATTGACAATGAGTGTAATATGCTCAAAGCTAGAACAGAGAAAAGAATAAGTAGATGAGATAGAGCCTTGGTGGATTAAGCTAACCTTGCTTTTCTTGGATCCCACAAACCAGACACCCAACTGATAGGTGAAACAACGGTGAGTGGGATCGTAAAGGGTAAGGGGTGGACAGATTGAGCTGGAGAGGCCAGAAACACAGTGAAGAGAGTGAAGAAAGCTAAAGAAAGGGAATGATAGAGAGCTCTGTAAGTGCACCACGCTCTGATAACAGTAAAAGAATAAGTCCAGGGACTTCGCCATTATCTTTGTGTGCAGCGCGTGTTCATTGGTGCTCTGATAGGATACTGCGCCGTGGCCTGCAGGCCTGGCAGCACCATTGTGATGGTATTACTTCCATGGCCGAGACTCAAGAGAA